GCTTAAGCATGGGATAAAATGCCAGTAGCGTATTTAATGTAGCCTTGTACTTATAGTCTCTTCTCTCTTCCTTCTTGGCCTTGTTTTCATGATTATTATTAAAATTCTCTTCAAATGTTTAGAATTAAGGAAGTTTTTAATGTCAAACTAGGATGAAATAATGGAAAGAGGTGTACTTCCCTTAAAAGTTGTTTAGGAGTTTTACAGTGCACCTGCTAGATTGAGGATATCAAGCCTTAATATGCTTCACAATCCCCTGGATGCTTTTGCAAAACTTTTCCTGTATCTGTTTTGCTTGATTGAGCCTGGCCTCTGGATACGTTTATAATCACACTCAACTTTTCATGAATGCTGTTTTACCTACAGACGCAATCAGTCTTTCAGAGCAGCAGGTTCACCCTTTTTCTCTGGACAGGTTGGTGGTGATCTTCTCTAGAGGCTAATGAGATACGTGTTTCTGTGGCACAATTTCCCTAATGATCTTTGAATGAAAACTGTTAACAGTATAATATAAAAAGCCCCCTTCCCAGGAAGTCAAGTAGATTGTAAGCGTGTGGTTTTTTTTTTTTTTTTTCCCCTGGGAACATTAGATTTAAATACATTTTCCAAGCTGAAATCTGAGCCTGAACTTATGTATAATTAATTATATTTGTAGATCTTATTAGGAAAAATATTATGTGTTGTTGTTTTCATTGATATCTGTCAAAAAAAAAGAGCAAAGCCAGTGCATGTAATGTACAGCCAGTGTATGGCTGACTTGCATCTAGTGCTCCTGATAAAACCAAAAGGGTCAGTGGCTTTAATCACAAAACAGTTGGAGTTGGAAGGGACCTCTGGAGATCACAGGGTCAGGTTAGCAGGTTGCGCAGGACCGAGCCCAGTCGGGTTTTGAGCATCTCCAAGGATGGAGACTCCACAACCTGACTCATGGGCGGCCTGCTCCAATGTTCAACCGCCTTGCAGTGAAGAAGCGTTTTCTTAGGTTCATTTGCTCGTACTTCAGTTTGTGCCTGTTGCCTCTCATCCTGTTGCTGGGCACTGCTGAGCAGAGTCTGGCCTTGTCCTCTCTACACCCTCCCATCAGATATCTATAAACATTGATACGATCCCCCGACCCTTTTCTTGTCAAGACTGAACAGTCCCAGTTCTCTCGGCTGCTCCTTGTATGAGAGATGCTCCAGTCCCTTAATCCTTTTTGTGGCCCCTATGGCAGCACAGAGTTACTAGCGCTACCTGCACCAAGGTGACTGGCTGCTTGCGTTATCTTGAATTGCTCTAGTTGTGAGGTAAAATTCACAAGAGAAACCACTGTCACTTACTATAGCTAAGTTCACAAGCACTAACTTCTTGACTTACGGCAATGGGATTACTCGAGAGCTTCATCTCGGAGTATATATTGGGGCTTTCTAGTAGCTTGCTTGCAGCTTACATGCCAAACAATTCTATGCCTCAGTTTTTGTTAGGAGTCTCTTAATTCAAGTTATCAAGCTTAGTTACTGAAATGTGATTTTTTTTTTTTCTAATTAAAAAATTAACAATAATCAGCTCTTAGATGCTTTTACCGGTAAACATCAAAAAGACTTTAAAAGATGATTGTATAATAATATTGATGCTTGTGTGGGAAACCAAAACAAAGGGAAACAAAATCACTGTGGTGTTGTCAGGCAACAACTCAGCGGCAGGCTGGAATGACGAGACCTGAGTTTACCTTTCTTCAGTATCATCTCCAGCTAGCTACAATGACTCATCCTCTAATGATGGTTATGTACTTCTTAGGTGCTTAAGTAGAGTTTAGTCCTCTGCCTCTTTAACTATTGGTATTTTAAGTTATGATTGGTCTCAGTGATACCTTTGCAAAATGGACTAGGGTTTCATAACAGGAATAATGGACTCTCTGAGAACAAAGCTCACCTGCTTCATTTCAGTAGACTGATATGGGTTGGAGGCTTTGTTCTGTTTGGGGTGGTGGTGGTGGGTTTTTTTAAATGCATCTACTTTATTTATTTATTTTTAATTGCATTCATCACTGTAGTATGTGGGATTATTAAGCCATACACAGGGGAGTGCCTTGTTTTGGTAGGATGATATGCTCTGCGGGGTTGTTTTTTGTTTGTTTGTTTTAAATCTCATCACGGTAGTGAAAATACATCCAAAAAACTTGCCTTGAACTTAGAGCAGAAAGTGGAGAGTTTGGTCTTGGTTCTGAGCTCTGGAAGGTGTTCGTTCCCCAGGGTGAAACTGGTCTCTGAAAAGGTTGTTTCCCGCACAAATGAGCATTAACACCCTCGTACTGTTCTCTTACGCCACCAATCTGATGGCAGCCTTCATTCAAAATGTTTACACTCTTACTGGATCTGTCTCATTTCAGGATTCACAGTTGGTAATAGAAGCCTTTAAATCGGGGTTTGAGCCTCCAGGAGATATTGACTTTGAGGACTTCACTCAGCCAATGAAGCGGACTATCTCTGAATCCAGCCTTTCAAATTCCAGAGGGGATGGGAAATCTGAGCCCAAGTTTGGTGGCAAATCCAAGGGCAAGTTATGGCCATTCATCAAGAAAAATAAGGTACTGACTTGCAAACTTCAGCTTGGTGCTAGTGTACTTATAGTCAATAACCTCTGCCTTGTTTAGTAATCCTGGCAATTGCAATTTTTTTTAAAGAGAATTTTAGTTTCAGAAAGCTAATAACTAATGTCTTAATATGATGTTTTGTTGTAGTCTTTGTTTACTTAAGGATTTTTTTTATATACCTTTAAATTTTTTTTTTCCTATATGATTTCTTTAATTATGTTGCAGTTTGTATATTTATTTACCTTTAGTTGTCATGTCTTTGCCATGGTCCATTTCTGTGCCTAACTCAGAGAGGGAATTGTATACCAGTTGCATAGTGCCATGTGTGCTAACTAACACTGTTACTTTTGGGCAGCTTTAACGTGGCATTACTGTCTCGACACCTCTAGAGCTCTCCTTGGCTTTTCATTTGCGTTGTCTTTTCAGTCTGTGCAGTGAGTTCAGCAACTGGGTGGCTGGGAATAGGGAATTGCTGTGATTCATTCTTAATTTAGCATAACTGAGCATAACTAACTAAGCAGTTGACTTTTTCAAAAGAAAATATTAACTTATGTGTCCATTAAACCTTTGTTTGACCATTTCATTGTCATATTTTACACCATAATGCATGGCAGCATTTACCTGGGGTTACCAGAATGTATCAGGATGACTGGACTAAATCTGTTCTCAGTAACACTGATGCAAGCCTAGAGTAGCTTCACTGTTTTAATCTCGCCCTTGTTGCTCTGACCCTTATCAAACTGCTTGCACTAATCACGGAGCGAGTACAAAAATCTACCTGATCAGAATGGGTCATCCTGTTGTGCTGATATGAGAAGAACTTGTCTCTCTGGTGCTTGCATCAGTGTAGCCAGAAACAAACCAGGGCTAACAACTCCTGAGCAAATTCATAGAATAATTGTTAAAAGTGAAACCTGATGCACGTTACAGAGGTATGATTTGAAAGCAGGAAGGAATGTGGTTTGTTGTTTTCCAGATAATAGAAACGCTACTGGGCACTAAGGTACCTTCCTTATCTGATCCATTTAAATTCAGGTATTTGAAAGCTCTATCCATATGCATTATTCTGAGCCGTCCACAGAGCAAGAACAGGGCAATTTATGGGGATAGCGTTGCATGGAAAAGTCTGCATGAGCTTCCTTTCGAAATACCTTGTATTATTCTTCTGTTGCATCATTTACTAAAAACTCCCATTTATCACATTCTTCATTTAACACAACTCTTAAATACTGCTTTCCCCCTCCCCTTTGAACCATGGCCTTTTAATATTTAATTATTTGTTTAATTGTTTTTTTTTCTCTGGATTTCAAATATTGTTTTTGATGCTTATTTTCGTTTTGTGTTTTATCTTTTTATTTTGGTTTTTATTCTGTCACTTCTCCATCTCTTATACGTAGCTTATGTCCCTTTTAACATCCCCCCATCAGCCCCCTCCTCCTCCCCCTGCCTCTGCCTCACCCTCTGCTGTTCCCAACGGCCCCCAGTCTCCCAAGCAGCAAAAGGAACCCCTCTCCCATCGCTTCAACGAGTTCATGACCTCCAAACCTAAAATCCACTGCTTCAGGAGCCTAAAGCGCGGGGTAAGTTCTCCTCTGGATACCTCTCTCTCTCTCTTTCTCTTTCTCTTTTCTTTCTTTCTTACGCTTTTATTGCACGTTCTGTTATGTAAAAACTTGTTTTGTTTTGTGAATGAACCCATTGTGTTTTATCATAACATGCAGACAAATCTAAGGAATCCCAAAGTACAAAGTCATTTGTAGTCAAAAGTGCCATAACGAAACCACGAAAAATACGCTTCCCGATGGAAATTACCTATTCTTTTTGAGGGGGAAAGTTGTCCACAGTACAGGCGGAGCAGCTGAATGTTTAGCAATACTTGCGTGAAAATCACAAAGATAGTTTAACTAAGTCAATAATTTAGTAGCCCTGCATATATCTGCAGCAGAGTTGGTTTGGGGGAGCACCATCAAGAGATTTGCTACAGTCCTGATGTAGCATGTTTCCTCCCTTACTGGGAGCAACTTTGTTCTTTGCAGGGTAGATTCAGCACAGTATCTAGGTCAAAAGGAGGAGAGCAAATTAGGAGAGGTTCTAGGAAATAATTCTTTTTACTTCACTTGGGGCAAGTTCAGGCCCTTCACTGAAAAGATCTGATGTCTTTCGCTGTAGCAGTGGGATCAACACTTCCCTGTATTTTATGGTCGAGAATGCTTCTGTGCAGAATTTCTGGCTGCGACTCAGCCTTGCAGACAGTGGTCGAGGGCTGGAGTGGCTGCTTGTTCCTTAAGTCTGACTCTTAAGAAAACAGATGAGACATGAAACCTGAAATGATTCTAGGTGGTAATAAAGTTACTTTAGCTTGTAAGGTATGAGTTTCCTTTAAATCAAGGCAGTCATGTTGGTGACGCTAGGGAACTGAATTTAACGTTCTCTGCATCTTCTTAGATATATTGACTACCATTGGCTCTGAACGTTTTGGGCTGTTACTTCCTAAGGACCTTAACTGCGTCCTGGAGAGTGACGTTTCAGTAAGATGAGAGGTTTCACTTGATTCCAGACTAACAAGCGTATATACGCACACAGGCATCCTGATGTTTACAGGGCTCAACCCCAAATTACCAGTTAGACACATACCTACGGGAAAAGAAGAAATACAGAGACACAGGCAACCACCTGCAGAGAAGAGGACATGAGATAGCATCTGTCCAATCCTTACTTGAGGCAGCAGCCCTTTCAATGGCTTCCTTTTGGGACTTGTAGCTCTGTTAGTGAACAGACATTAAGATGGCTTTGGCTCCTAGGTTAGCATCTGGAGAATTATTTCCTCATATAAAAATTATGCCAACCAGACAGCACTGTTCAGTAATTAAAATATTTTTTAGAGCAGGCTGTAATGACAAGGAAGGTAACTACTTTAGAAAGCCCAAACTCTGCTCCAGGGACTGCACTGACATTTAGGCTTAGAGGCCTGAGCTCTATAAAAGCAGAGATGATTTCACTAGGGAACTTCAGTGCTGGTTAGCTACAGAGAGCTAAGAGCAATGCTATAAACAGTATTTTAATTGTGTTATCTGGTTATAGAAAGTACATTAAGAAAATAGACAATTTTCTTGCATAAAAGTTTCCAATTCTTTGCTACGGAGTTGTCCTTTAATGGCGGTATGATTCAGACTAGAACCCGAAGAATCACGCTTCTGGTGCTTTTTAATGGGGAAGCCAAAAGTTTCTAAGCTGTCATAAGGTGTATTCTGTAAATATGCTACCTTCCCTCCCCTCAGTTGCACAGTTTGGCTCACAGCATCTTTTCTCAGTGGCTCTAAAGGGGGAAAACAGTCTTTCCGTTCTGCTTCTCTAACAGCAGATTTGGAGGATGTGCTGCTTGTGGCGCTCTTGAAGGCAGCTGTTATGGTAGGTTGGCTTCTGCAAGGCTTGTTCATACCGAGTAGCAATGAGACACTTGGGAGAGTGAAGGCACTGCTGAAGGTGAGAGCTTGAATTGCGGTCTAATGCTCCGAGAGTGCCGTTCACTGAACAGAGTGCTTAAAATAGTGCTGAATATTTTTAACTCAGTCTAAAATATTTATACTAGTTCGTAGTTCTCTGGGCACTTCGCAAGTTTGTATTTCAAATGCACAAATTCTTATTTAGTGACTATTTGGCTGCGTAAGCAATTTGTGACCAATTGCTTTTCATATTGCCTGAAGATGGGCCATTCTATTGTGTGTTAATTATTGGAGAAGTCTAAGTGAGCCTTTTATAAGGTTTTCTCACCTCCTCGTATAAATTCACTTATTAATACTGCATGCCATATTGTTTTCGACTGGTCTGTGAGAAAAGTGAAATAATGAGAACAGTCTCCTATAGTTTTCTCTGGAATCCCCTCTAATTTTTGCTGACAGTCATTAAAACGTCAAAGGAAAGGCACTTGCTAAATCTTCATTTAAACCTCTTGCTATGTTCTTTTTCTATTTCATTTCCTTCCCCTGTGAGCCACCAGGATGTTTGTATGTAAATAGTGTTCCTGCCTGAGTCATGCAGCAGGGTTGGAAGCCAGCATTCAGATTATCACATCTTTTTCCAGAAGGGCAAATTCAGGCCATTTAGTTCATCTAGAAATACAGAGTAGAACAGGCTGCTAAGCTCTGGCAGCTGGCTCGGTCTGTTTTGAGAATTTGTAAAGTTCATATTTCATAGGTCCTTGGTGGCCAGAGCTAATGGGTGAAACGCTGGTGGTTTATGTTGTACAAGGGGTCAGACTGAAGGATCACGAAAGTGCCTTATGATCTTACAAAACAAAATAATAAATTAAACATTCTAACCAGGCCAGAAGAAAAAAGATTTCCCCCCCCCCCCAACCACCCCAAAATCCTGTAAAATTGTTGGATGAAAAATGAGTGATTGGCATTAGTTTCAGTTGATATGGCCTCCTGTATATAAATTACAGCTAGGTAACAGGGTTAATTCTGCTTTTACCATATCAGTTTAATAAGAGTTCCAGTTTGCGAGTCTTCTCTATTCCACTATCCCTTTGCAAAATCCAAAAGGATATGAATTTTGCACTTGAGGATGAGTTATAATATTGCAAATACTTGAATTGTGATGTTACCAAAGAAATTAGATGGGAGGAAGTAAGGAGAAGCTGTCTAGCAAAGGATATCGCATCTGTGCAGAGATGCACAAGTGTGAAGCAACTGTTGGAAAGGAAATGTAGGGAACCAGCAGGACAGTCCAGTGTAATGGATGTTTGGCTCTGCACACTGAAGAATTTTGTTTGGTCTGAATGTTGTCTCTGCACTGCTGCTTTTGTTTGGAGACAAAAATCCCTCTCCAGTCAGACACCTTGCCGTGAGGATGGCCACGGGAGATTTTAAGTAGTATTTTAGATTATGCAACCAAATTGTCAAGAGGCAAATCCTTCCCAACTTTGTTGATGAACTGAGCTGTTAACTCAGTGTAAAATGTGCTAAAGTCAGTGTAACAATTTATGTTTATTTCGCTGCCAAAAAAAAAAAAAAAAAAGGTTCATACTCCTTTTCTGCATTAGTTTCCAAGGGAGAAGTGCATGAAAAGGAACTGCTTAGTGTGAGATTAAGTCTAGTAGATAGCAAGACCTTAACAGGATAAATCAACAGGAGCGAAACTGCACATTGTACTTGATCCTTGAAACATAAGTGAGTGAATAGATTCCCATACAATTCCTCCACAAAACCTTTGCGATCAGAACAGGTCTGGATAGGCAGTATTTTTTAGCAACTTTCGTGTGAAGTTTTGGTTTAGTGTGTTATGTTGCATTTGGAAAGAGAAATTACTAAATGTAGAAGAGCAGAAAAAATCAAGGGTAACTGTTTAAAAATTAATTTTTAAATTACTCACGACCTGTTCTGTGTCCGGTCTAGCTTCTATTTTGCTTCCAAACCAAAAATCCTATGAATCTTATTTTTGTGGAAGGAAACAGATGCCTGAACAATTAATTTACCACAGATGCAAGGTTAATGTAGAGGAGCCGATACGAATATCAGTAGTCAGGGCCAATATGGAATCCTAGTCAGTTTAAAAGAAAAAAAAAAATTAGGCGCCGACTCTTGTCGGAGTCTGTGGTTTTCTAATCATATTTTCCTCAAGTTTTCTTTTTTCTAGCCCCAGCAGCAGACGAGATCCTCATTATAGAGCGTACTATTCTCGCACTTATCGTAGATCAAAACTAGAGCGGAAAAAGTGTGTCTTGCCCATAATTTTTGGGAGTGCTGTTTCTAATAACTCTTTAGAAGGACAATATAAAAAAGAAATATACTTAAATCAACTTATCTCTTTAGGGAAGTTAAAGCCAGAAGAGTACAAAAAATGAGGAACCACTTACATAAGTTACAATTTCATTTATGCTTGCTCTGCTTTTTCTAATTCCTTTTAGAGGACGAAGAAAACTCAGTGCTCTGCTACTTGATATTAATTTTGTGTTTTTTGTTTTTATTGCTATAGTGGCAATAACATCAGCACCTTTTTCTAAAGAGCTGAACTTCTACATGGGGAAAAAAATCCAGGGGTAGAACTTATTCCTTTGAATTATGTTGTGTGGCTTTATGCAGACCTGCTTTGCCTCTCTTAACTCAGACTAGGCTGCGATTAGACAGAAAGATGATGTGTTTGGGAGCTGGGACACAGATACTGCTGTCATTGACCGCGTTCCAACCTCCAGGCTGTTCTGTTGCACACAGTGGAGAGATTTTTGTGGTTCCCTTTCTAGTGGAAGTTGTTGACTTCATTACAATGTAAAACTTTATTTCCCTCGCGCCAGTTAATGTTTCCCATACCATCTTGTCTTGCCTCTGTGACATGCTGTGTTGTTCCCTTTTCCCATCTATGCTAAGACCAGGGTTTTCTGGAGGGTTGGGGTGGTTAAAGCTTGGTTTATGCCAGCCCAGACAAAGATGTTTTCTGATCTGGTGTGTTACAGGCTTGCCTTTAGAAACATGGCACTTAATAGTTTTTCTTGTGGAAATACTGAACTCCCTGAATGCTCACCTCGTTGCCAGCAAGTTTCCCCTTTGCGCTTAAAGGCTAGTTAAACCCCAAGCTATCTTTTGCTGTAGAAGCAGTAAACGCGGAGATGCCTTGCTCATCTGCACTGTAACGGATGTGTTTTCTCTTGCTGACTCACCAGCAGACACAGTCTTTGTATTTTCACAAAGAACTCATGAAGAGGACTTTAGGGACACCCACGTGTGCCATTGAGGCTAGGGAATACGTTGTAAGTCTGCGTATGGTGTGCTTAGCCCATACCGTTGCTGCACAGTCGCTAACCCCACTTACAACGCCCTTGGAGTGTGCTGTGGAAATGTGCTTTGTAAAAGATAAAAGGAAAACGACAAATTGGGAGAGAGGCAAGTTGCAGCTTATTGCGTGATGCGCAGGAAAGATTTATCCACCAGTCCTAGAAATGCTGAAATTGGCACAATTAATGATTGGACCGGGGGAAATTCAGATTGCAGTGTGGAACCTGCTTAAAGTGTCCCTGGCTGTAGCAAGGGTAACAGCATAGAAATCCTAAGTAATTTCTGTGTTCTGGTATGCTGTTTCTAAATTCATTCGTCCTGTAGGCTGACCCGACCTCTGCTTTTACAGCAAAGTTGCTCTGTGTAAAAAGTACCACAGGCGGGTTCCATGCATTTCTTCTAAATTATTTGTGTGTTGGGGGGGGGATTATGCATATGGTCTTGACTATCGTTAACCAAACCTCCTAATTTACAGCAGTGCAATGCTGCACGGCGTTTTGTGCCTTGGCGGTAGAGCACTGCTGCGCTTTCTGAAGATTCCCTGAGCTTTCTGTAATGATGGTAGTTCATGGAATCAAGATTTGCGACTTCTAAATCTGATATTTGGAGAAAGCAGGGTATAGGGGAGATTGTTCCAGGACCACTAAGAAAGAAATTTACCTCTTGTCCATAAGGAAGCCTCGGGGTTTATTTCAGTCCCGTCTTCTGTAAGTGAGGTTAGTGTCTGTGACTGTCCAATAACACATGGACTTGCTGGCTTTCGTGCTCTCTCATGTGTTATTGAAGCTTGTGGCTCTTAGGCTCTTCATTCGTTCCCTGCAAGACTAAGCTAGACTTGATTTAAAGTGACAGCTTGAAACGGATTTGCTCATTTTATAGAAACGGAATTACTTGATTGTTTGTGAGGGAGGAGGGGGAATGCTGCTCTTCAGGAGCTGAGCAAGTTTCTAGCTGTGAAAACCCACCAGGATTGGCAAAAAATAGTTATTTAGTGAATGTTTAATGCAGGTTTATTTTCAATCTGCTTGTATTTGTTTATAGAAACTGAATTACTGACTTCTAAAATTATCGATACCTTTCAGAAACAGAAAACTGTGAATATGACTTATTTCAGCATTTCATTGTTTTAAACTATGATCTGCTTTGTTATTTGTACTAGTTATAACAATCCCTGATGTACTATTTGGATGGAAATGCTATTAACAAGTTTATTTTTATCATACTTAACAATGTAAGAATTTGGCAATATGCTGTCTGTAATCCCTTTGAAATTTGCTGAGTTTACAGCAAAAGAATAGTCTCAATACAGATGGTTCTTTGCAGTAGCGTAGTGGCTTTAGAGTAAGTAGTGTTTAGAAAGTAGCGCATGTAGCATACGTTTTGTGCCTTTTCTAGAGTGCTTTGTAGGTAAATATTTTTTCCGCCCAGTGAGTGTTGTCTGTGTAAATGTAGAAGAATCTTAATTTGTGCTGATCGTGTCTCTGCTAAAGTTCACAGGAATGCTAAAGCAATTATGCAAATAACGGCTGCCTAGACCAAATTTCTTCAGCAACATGTTTTAGCTCATTCTTTCCTCTTCTTGTATGATTATTCCCCTCTCAAAAATTGATTGTCTTTGTTTTTTCAATGGCCTCTTAGCTGAGAGAGTTAATTTGTCTATTGCGCTGTGGTTATTACTGTATATTTATTTACTAATGGGCTGAACCTCCGAGGGAAGTTGAATTGCTGCGTTCTCACAGAATGGAGCACTTCAGGTGGAATATTTCACTATTTATTTGACAGCCATATTTTTCTCATTCAGTGGTTGTCCTGTATTATTGTATAAATTCTGCTAAGTAAGGGTAATGTTTATATTTGAAAATTTTCCTACTACTTGAACGTGTTATGAAACACATTTATGGAGCTACCTTTATTTTAAATCCAGTCCTAAAGAACCGTGCTTTGGCTAAAAATGGAGCATCAGGAAGTGAGAGAGCACCATACGCAGCAGCTGTTCATGTTAAAATTGCAGCAAGCTCTTGAATGGGAAGATGTGCAGAAGTTTTGACAATACAGATTATTGCCTACAGTGAGAGATGTTTTCTAACTTTCATTTTGTGTCTGTCTTTAGCACAGAGCAAATGCAGTTATGCATTTACAAGTTCGTTGCATAGTTTGAGCATTTCACCACAGTTATCCCCAAAGAGGTGGTAACGCAGCCACCGTGCAGATCGCTGGAGGAAGAGGCAGGTTACAGTTTGGATTCTCCCTTTAGAAACTGGTTTTGTCTTGAACAGCAGTTAACTTAGGCTCCTTGGCACGCGACAGAAAGGCACTGTAACACTGTTAATCTCCTTGTCTCATGGAAAACCTCCGGAATTGCAGCTGTCACAGTGGTTTGCAACACTGGAAGAGGGTTTAGGTAAGTTAGGTGGTGAGCTGCCCACGCGCGTTTGTTCACCTGTCAGTTTGAGGCCCTGCAGCACTGTTGAGAGCTGCATGTGCAAGTGACGTAGGACAGAGGCAAACCGTGCTGGTGCGTAAGTGGTGGTGGTGGTTTTGTGTGTTTTTTTTTTTTTTTTAAACATATGCCTCCCTTTTTACAGTCTCCTACTTTCCCAGAGGAGCTGGAAGATAGTGTTTTGGCTCTGTACCAAGAAATGTCATAACCTTTAAAGAACTCAGTCATGTATATCATTTAAGGAGCATGGATAGCGGCTTAGGATTCTGTCATAGAATCAATTCGATATAAAGAGAAAAGAGGGTTTTTTCCTCCTCCTTTGTCCTTCTGTCTTTGCTACCATGTAGCAAAAGGAAGTTTGCTATGATGAATATTTGCTTATGAATCCTTCAAGAACATGAAACATCTGAAGTAACTACCCAGAGGACGTTGTACACAGTACTCGTGGATGTTTCAGGAATATTGTCCTTTGGGCATAAGCCTGAGAGCGAGGCTCCGTCTCCTTGAAATCACTGGAGATCCCATAGTGCTTTTTGCAGCAAGTGTAGGACCTTACCTCTTTGCTAAGTTCTAGCTAGGTTTTATTGCAGTTTTCTCCTAAAACATTGCATAATATGGCTGATACTTGTGACTACATTTCAGCGCGTTTTTGGTCTTGAGTGACTTGCACACGCTTGCAAGTCTTGAGGTGGTTTTTTTCTTCCTGCATCAAAGATGTTACCTTGATGAGAGAAGCACTGTTGTTGTCATAGCTGCTGTAAATGGATCAACCCAGGCGACATGTTCAGTTGCAGTACCAAAGCACGTGTGTAGAAGTACAACACTTTTCCTTTTCCGCTTCCACCGAGGAAATTGCAGCTGATTGATGTTGGCCCATCTTGTGAACTTTTGCACAGATCTGTTAGTGTTACCCATTTCGCATTCCAGCAGCGAGGGGGATGTGTGTCGTTTTACTGTAACATCGATCGGAAAAAGTTCTTCTTCTACTGATGTACTGTTGTTTTTTTTCTCTCTTTTTTTTTTTTTCTCCTGTATCTCTCCAATTTTTACATGAAGCTTTCTCTCAAGCTGGTAAGCACGTTTACAGCATGCATGTTCTGTGTTTTAATCACAGTTTTGTGTGTTTTAATGTGCACTGTGCCACCTATGACATGACACAACTTGTTAAATTTGTTTCTTCTTTGTGTTTTGCTTTTTTTGATGTTTATCAGATAACTCTGAATACACAGGTCTGGAGCCTAATAGAGGTGATCCGAATTCAATCTTTCTAATAAGCTGCTAAAACATTAACTCTAATATATAGTTTAGTTTTATTTTTATAATCTAGGGCTATGAAAATGTAGAAAAATAGTATCGAGTAATTCTGCTGTATGAAGTATACATTCAAGCATTTTAAAGATACAGGTCTCGGTGTGTTTGTGGGACCATTTGTAGAGAGAAATGCAAGTCTTTTCTGTAACGGAAAATAGCTGCAAAGTTGTTTTCCATGTCCAGGTGTTACTGGAAGTCGGCATCATTATCACCTACATTTTACAGCCCTATGTAGTCCTTGAAAATAACTAATAATGATATTAATCAAAAGCTCTGTAAACCTTAACCAAGAAGGTTAATTCAGTCTGACTTGACTTTGCCAATGATGACGTGTATACGAATCCTAAATTCTATCTTGGATGCAGCTGGGAAGGTATCTTGAGCTACGGTAAGAAAATATACTACTGAGTTGGAAAGGGAAGGGGTGAACATATTTGGGAAAGCAAATTACGTGCAGAACTTGACACTCGAGGTACTGTGCTGCTTGAGTAGAGATATTCCACGCCTTGATATGTTTATGGTAGCTTGTCTCCGTTCCTTTGCCCTAACTGATTCCTGTCACAAGAAGGACGCGACACTTGCTGACCCACTTCACGCAAGCATGCAAGAGGCACGAGTGATTGACTGCAATTTCAAGAGCTTCAGAGAATTGGCAGTAGCTCATTAATTGCATTAGCTTGAAAGTTTTCTTTGTCCTTGTCAGTCAGCGCCTTTGGGGCGCCTCTCCCTGTTATTTTTCTCCTGCCATGTACATTGTTGCTGGGTACACCATGTTGGACCTGTTCTGTTCCTAGCAGCTTATTCTGAGGCTGTGTTGCCACTAAAGCTACCTAATGTAGCTCTGGCGTGTCCCTGTGGATGTTTCAGGCCCTGCTGTTGCAGTGTACAACACTGACTTGCTCAAGCTGCCTCAGCAATACTGCTGCTTAATGAAGACCTGTGATAGGCCTGAGGATTAAAGTTGTAGAAATCTCCAGCTTACTTGCAAACCTTGTTTTTCAGCTGTTATCAAGCCACTGGCTTGGTAGCCTAAAGCCTTTATACCAAGGGTGCCCATTTGCTGTTTTCCTGGTCACAATGCTAGTGCATTGTGCTGCTGAGTTGAGCCTTCATGTGTAGGAATGCATCCTCCCAAGTAAATGGCTGACCTGGCCTTTCCCCCGAAATTTCACAAATCCAAAAGATGTGCCGAGAGAGCTGAAACCTGTGCGTACCTCAGGAGGAGAAAATTGGCTTGTTGGTAACGTTTTATTGGCTCCTAGCTGTAAAAGAGCCAAAACTGGAGCTGATAAAGCGCGCGCGCGCTCTCTCTCTCTCTCTCTCTCTTTATACATCTTCAGCCCAGAAGCTGTTCCAAACGTGGCCTCTTTTTTTCTCCCAATTGTTCATTTTGTGACCACGGTTCACACTTTGCATCCTAAATCTCAGTCCTTTCATGCAAGGATATCTAGTGAGCACTGGCTCTGCTGTTCCTATGACAGCACATCAAAAATATCACAGATTTCTGTAAAGCATTCATTAAAAAAAAAAAAATACAGGCAACCTTCAATACTTGAGAGAAAGTCCCTGGCGTGTTTTGCTTGAGAGCATGAAATGTACCCAGCATGTGCAAGAAGAGCTCCTTGACTCCTCCTCTCGGAGGAGGAACTGTGGCCTCTGTTACGACGGGAAATTATTGAGCATGGAATAAAACCTCAGTGAGATCACCTTTAGTCTCAGGCATGCCTTTCTATGTGATGTTAATGCTTTGGTCTGAAGCATTGTGAACAAAGATCTAGAGCTTAGTGCAGGCTTAGGCTTTTGAATGAACTGGAGTTGCAGAATCAAAACTTAGTTTTGAAAAAGCTTTTCCAGGTTTGTCTGAGTGCACCTATCGCAGGCAGCTAAGATGTAACTAGAGCAATTCTCTAGCATCTCTGTGTCTTTTGGTTAGACTTGGAAATGAACGTATTATATAGTCTTTCTTGTAACTGCTTATTTCTCTATCTACGAAGCTGAATCCAAATGCTTTACCTTGCAAAGATATGTATGGTTTTAATGTGTGTATTATCTGGAAAATATGTTAAATTGTTCTAATGTCTAACGTGGCATGGGAGTTGGTATCGAGCAGAATGTTAGCATCATTAAAGAATAAGTTAAAATAGAGCTTACCTGTACCATGCACAGCTAGTAATACAAACAGTAATTCAGAAGTATTAGGGCTTTGTGCCTAAAGTTTTAGAATGCAAGTGTGATTTATTTAGTTATTTCCCTCATTTTTTTTTTCTTAAATTTACTTTCTTGTTGTCTTATAAAATGGAGTTAAATGTACTACTATGCAAAAAATCAAGCCTTGGCTAGATGCAGCTGCTGTCTTTTAATGCAAATCAATATGGCAGCAATTTCAGTTTACTCGTTCTCCTGCCTTTTGAAATTGCTAGGCCGGAGGAAGAGGCGATGACCTGTCTGTAGTTACCCTCCATCCCCTTGCCACCTGCATGCTTTGTCTCTAAGCTGCATGTTCTGTGAATGCAGAAGAAAGCAGGCTGTCTCAAGGGGCACGTTCAGTGGAGGGTTGAAAGAGTCTAATAGGAAGCTTTTTGTGGTAAAGTGTGCGCTAAATCACATTCCTCTGAGAAAGATATTCAGCATTTTAGTAAGATGAGCGTTGCAATAACCCGCCACAGCCGTCCTCCTTGTCTTCTTGCTCGCCAAATATAGGTGGTACTTTGAAGAAAGTAGTTCATACAGACGTGTTACATGTCTTCTATCTACTATACAAGATTGGAGCAATTGGGAAGAGGCATAGCAGTTTGAAGGCAGAAAGGGGGGTTTTAGTTCAAGCAGAATCCCACAAGGGTAACCACTGTGCTCCTCAGAACTTTTCTTCAGTTATGACTTCAAATGGCCTGAATCTGTGGCTTTGATAGCACTCCTGGTTTTACGCTGGTATAAGTGAGAGGAGAGGAAAGGTTGAGAGACTGTGGCACAGGGCAAGGATCCTGGAAAGTGTGCAACATGATTTTTAAATTGCAGAGGCCCAGAGGAAGCACTTCCATTATGCAAGTTTGTTAGGAGAGTCTGACACTAACGTAACTATGTTGGACCAACACCCACAACCACTGGTATTGGCGGGTCAGGCTGCGCTATGCAGAGCGAGTCTGCAGTTAATAGTGTACGTGTGAAGCAGGACTGACACAGGAGTAAAAGCAGCAACTGCTTTTATGGCGTTGTTGCCTGCAGCAGAGCTGGGGAAGCATGAAAGATTGGTGTTCCATAAGAATGGAGCTCTGTTAAATACAACCTGATGTTAAACCAGGATAGAAGTAGATCCTTGGCTTTGCTATTGAATTCTGGCATTCTTCAGTTGGTGGTCTCCCGTTATCCGTTTGTTATGGAGGTGGGATGTGGTCCTGGGATTACTTGTAAAGCATCTAGATTCCAAACCATTCAGGGACCGAGTGCGCTCAAGACAAACAATGGCAATGCTTCAGACCATAGTGATTTTGCACAGATTTTTCTGTGAGCTGTTTTCAAAATGCAGTTCAGAAGGGTTCTTTCAGGCCCTCATTTTTCTTCTTTTTCTCCATTCCACTCTGTGCAGGGAGCAGGGCCAGAAGATTTCAGCAATCTCCCACCTGAGCAAAGAAGAAAGAAACTTCAGCAAAAAGTTGATGAACTAAACAAAGACATTCAGAAGGAGATGGATCAAAGGTAAGCCAAGCCCCTCCAATGAAGTGGTCCCCTTTAGGAGAAGGGAAACGACTAAAACATAAGAGAGAACAAATAAGAACAAGGTTCTAGGTTTGTCTGAGGTGCTGTTCTGAAAAAAGAAGACACAGAGGGAGGATACTATAAGAGTAAAAGCATCCAAGAGAGGTGCAATGCGCTCTGCAACTCATTTTTTTTTTTTAAATCAGTCATTTAATTTTGGCTGATTTTTTTTTCCCCCCCCCCCCCCCCCGCCCGGGTATAAGGCATAGCCTGTCTTTGCAATTGAGAGATGAGAAGATCCTTGTGTAAAGATGGGAATGATAGAAATGAAGCAACTGGAGACAATTTTTTCTTCTTTCTGGAGTTGCTTTCTTGGGGCTTTGAAGGACAGTAGCAGTTCATTTGTGAGCCGGACAAGGATCAGTGTGGGTGCACTAGATGTGCTTCTTGATGTGAGCAGCTCCTGAGGTTTTTGAAGAAAGTACAGGATCTAAATACTCTCGGTCAGAAGTGTAAATGTAGACCTCTCGGCACTAAACAGATCGCTTATTAATGTAACAGGCAAAATTGGGCATGAGTAGATCCCAATGAGAGGTTATTAGGAGCATGGTAACGTCATCGAAAGTCCTTACTGAATGGTATGTGTCTTAGGGCTCTGATCTGTAGCATGCGTTTCCTGGAAGCAGAAGAGATGATGAGTCCTGTACTTTTGTGGATGTGTTTTTCGCAAGGCTTCGTTTATCATTCTGATTGAGAACAAGGCCCTTTTAGCTACACGCTTTTTATTGATTCTGGCAGCTTATATTTGCTGCTTTCAGTGTTTGTTCACGTTCTGACTCCTATGGTTACGTTAAAGATTCAGGATATTGTGTTTGCAAGAGACAGAACTTTTCTGTCCTAAAGGAGTTCAGGACTTAGCCTCTCCTCTGATACTAGTCTGTCCCTAAACATTGCTGATATTTTGTGTTTGTACAGATGTGCCTACATTTTCTGCTCATTTGCTTTGAAAATACCTGCTTATTTTGGTCTGATGACCCAAACTTTCTTTATATTTTATATCATGAATAAGAAAGGCAGACTGCACATAGATATCTTACTTTTGTGTACATGTACCTGTTCTCACTGTGCTACCTTATATTTGTCTCTATACAGATTTTCCTTTATGTTCTTTATTGATTCCGAATCATCTCTTGATTTAACCTAATGTTAAAATCCGGCACAAAATCCGAGCAGAATGAGGTTATTTTAAATAAACATAGCATATGATTGAGTAAGGAATTAGCATCAGCAGTTAAATATAGAGTTTAAAAAAAATCATGACTCATATATTTGAAATATTGTCCCTGAGGGCTCCAACCACAGAGCAGGCCCACTTCCTTGCCACCCACGCTTTTTTCCCACTTTCTCTTCACACAAAGCAAAAGCAGGCACAGGACTGCAATTGTCAAGAGTTTGGTGGGAAACTCTAAAATATAAAGAGCATTAACTTGAGTCGTGGGACTAGCATTAACCTTTTTTTCCCCCTCAGATAATGCCTAGAGAAAAGCTGAATAGTTCTGTCGGAAGTACAGGAAATCAGCGCATAAGTCCACCCATTTCTAAGCTCTAAAATATTCATCATCATGCAGATTTTATTTATTTATTTTAACTTGAGCCTCAAGCTGCCCCAGGTCAAAGGTAGCACATTGCTTTGGTGAGAGCTCCACAGGCTTCCCGAACTGAGCTCTTGAAGGCGTGTACTACACTAGTGTTGGCCTTATGGTACCACGTTCCTCACAGTAAGCCCTGAAATTAAAATCTCTGAAATCCTAGGCATTTGGCATCTGAGTTGATATGAAACACAGCCCCCCAAAAACAGTCTAATAAAAATGCTGCCTGACTTAACAGGACGCAGGGTCGCATTATGTAGCCCAAGGTCCATCTGTTGCTGCCCTGTGACAAATACAAACCATTGGATTTAGCTTCATTTTAAGCAGTGGGAAATAAGCATCTTACCAATGATTTGCATTGCAAAAGACAAATAAAACGCAACAGGCCAGGCAAGAAATTCTAGTTAGCACTCTATTTTTATTACTAATAGGTTCACATCCAGTTCGTTCTTCCAGTTTCTAAACTGCAATTCAGCGTAGTATGGAAAAGAATGATGCAACCATTTGTCTATGCCCCCAAAACTGGGAAGATATTTATCTAGAAAGTGGAAGTCATTCCTTGCAAAGGTTCCAAGATCATTTTCCCCCCCACCCCACCCCCGGGTTAGCAAGTGGAAATCCTAGTACTAAATAAAATAGCACGTCAGGCTAAAGGTCAATACCGTGCTTTAAATTCCTTCATTTGCCTTGCAAAAGGCCCTTGCTGAGGAAGTCGGTCAGTTTTCTGCTGGAATTCTTAAAGTGGGGCACTTGGAGCTTGAATCCGTTCGTCTAAAGATGCTGCATGCTTGTACTAATACAACACATCTCTGGCTTAACAATTCATTGCTAGGGCTCGCAGCTGTTTGCGGAATAACGAGCCCCTTTTAACATAAGGGGTGAAGAAATTAGGCCTGTGCACATTGTGTCTCAGATCACATTGTAGGTAAAGGCTTCACTCACTCTTTTTCATCTCTTGACGTATGATTCTCCTCTGGCAAGCAATTTTACTGTTACCCTTTATAAATGGCTGGCTCTATACAGGACAAAAATCGCTGCCTGGATGCTGTTACCTTTGTGTCAGGTAAGGCTTTAACCAGAGACTAAGAAAAGGCAGTTTATTATCCTTTCATTTTCCCTCATTTAGAGAATGGGATTTGCCCCCAACTGCATCAACATTTACATATTCTATTTTTCTTCTGACTGTCAGAGATGCCTTAACGAAAATGAAAGATGTGTACATCAAGAACCCACAGATGGGAGATGCAGCGAGTGTGGACCACAGATTAGCAGAACTTGGACAGAACATTGAAAAGTTACGAATAGAAGTTCAGAAATTTGAGGTATGGGAAGTACAGAAGAGCAGATGCACTTTTGCGATGCTGGTCTCAACAACTATGCCCCGCTTTAGTACAAAGTAGTTCAGCGTAGGCTTAGTTCTGAGCAGATGCTTCAGTGCTTTTACAGACAGAGGTATATTGAAGCATTTTCTTACTGTGCACGGGTAAGTACTGTTTAAGTGTTTGTATTAATTGAGATCTTTGAGCCTATTTGTGTAACATAGATATGCACCACCTCTTGTGACTGTCAGCCAACAAACTTGCTGTTTAATTTGCCACAGAAAGCAAATTACGCTAGGCAGAGGATGAGGAAAAAATAGTGTGTCCTCTGGACTGCCCAGAGGAATTCAGAGGCTTGCTTAATTAATAATTTGAAACATCCCATTACAGCTGTCTGTGGAAAATATGATGAATGTTAATGAAAAGCACCATTTAAAGTCTATCAGCAAGATAAAACACATTTCATCTGATGGCTTCTAAGGAACAGTCTGCCGTTAACAGGAAGCTTCTTAGAGATAGAAAATCTCAGGAGCATAATAAGTATTTGAAATAACTGAAGCCATTAGAAGTGTATACCGTTATAATTACTCTAGAAGGATTAGAGAGTTGAGGAAAGACTTCACTAAGTTGTGCTGTGGACATAAATGGATACAGCCAATTAATTTTAAATGCCTCTTACAGTTGTTTGCTTTATTATCCATTGCTTGCTTACCCTTTGAAAGTGACTAGCTCGCTCTTTCCCCCTAACTTTAGGCCTCTTGCACTCAGCAGTCACTGAGATCACTGTGTTTCTGATCTTATCGAGACTGCTGTGAACTGCCACAAATCTTGTTTTGCTTTATTGTGACTAGAGCAGCAACATCAGAACAGCTGTCATTAACTGCTGCTCTTAAGTCACAGTGCTTTCAGCACCCCATGCTGAAAAAACCTAAGTTGTCAGCAAGAGTGTGGGTTTTTTTTTTTTTTTTTTTCAAGACTGGTGTTTTTAATATGCACTTAGAATACAAAAAGTATACCCTCTGACAACTGCAATTCAAAGGAAAATTAAATGTTTACACTCTGTTTTTAGTTCCACAGTCTGACTATCAAATATAATGCCACAAAATAAAAGCAACGTGTATCCCCTTGCAAGTCGAAACATCAGAGACATGAAACTGCTGCTTTCCCTTTGCAGGGCTGGCTGGCTGAGGTGGAAGGCAGGTTACCCCCGCGGACTGAACAGGCCCGGCGGCAGAGTGGGCTGTATGAAGCCCAGAACACTTCAGCAGTAAACAGCTGTGCACAGGACCGGGAGAGGTACAGTATCTGTATAGAGCTGTCCTGTATAGACTGATAACCCACCTTCCTTAGCTTGTTAATGAAGTGTCTTCTGTGAGGGAAACTGTAGCTCTGCAGCATTCAGAAGCTTATTCTGTGACCAAACTAAAGGCAAGCACTCTCTGAACTTAGTGCACTCATTTTAGTGTGTAGAAAGTACCAAGCTGAAGAGCTGCTTTTCTGAATACGATGAAATGTGTAATAGCCCCTTGCACTCCCTGCTGAGAAGGTGAGAGGGGTGCCCTTTAGGGATCTTAATGGGGAAAAATGACTGCTCTCTCTCGTCGCCTTGTGATAACAGCCCATTCTGAACAGGCTTTGGAATTGAGCTGCTCTAGCTGCCGTTGCTCACCTTGCCTTGAGTGTCTGCTAGCTAAGTCGTTCCCTTGACTCCTGAGGCTGGCTGCTATAGTTGCTGTGTATTTTCCTCTCTTGAGCAGCCCGGATGGCAGTTACACGGAAGAGCAAAGTCAGGAGACTGAGATGAAGGTACCTGCAACAGATTTTGATGATGAATTTGATGATGAAGAACCGCTACCCACTATAGGAACATGTAAAGCTCTATATACGTTTGAAGGTATCATTCAACCTTTACTCTTACTTCATTTATTGTTCTGTTTAGTTCGTGTTGCAAGTGCAACTGAGAAATGCTCATTTAACCCCTGCAGTGCTTAAATAGACAAAGAAAGGGCAAGAATAGGCTCTGTCGCTATTCTGTGTTGTGGAGGGGCACTAAGACAGTGATTTGTCCCACCTTATGTGGGAACTCTGTGCAACAAGAGAATCATGAAACAGGGAATAAAACTGGTTTCTGTTTTACACGTTTCATTCCCTCCATGTGCTTCATCCCATACCTACTGAAGGTTCCCCCTGAGAGTTTTTTCTGGAAATGCTTGCTGGGGACAAGCTTTAAATCATATCATTACCCACACATTTTATGAGCTACTGTTTCCAGTGGAAAAATCTAGTATGTTAGGTGTTTAAGAGTTCCACTGTGAGGAGGAGCTTTATGTACGTATTGTACAGTTTAGGGGTATGGTACTCAGCTGAAGATGAGTGAATAAATTCTCTTATTAATGCTACGTGTGATATCTTGTAATTTTATCCTATCTGTGGTAAATAACCACTCTGGCCTTTGATCACTGCTTCCCAGCAAAACAGTTGCAAAAGCTGGCTATGGGTTACAAGGAATAGTTTGTGAGGAGAGGCTCAAATTCATGATGCGTGAGTGCCTACTTTCTCTTGATGGCATTGGTGTTTATGGCAGCTCTGATGTCGCGATCACGTTTTTCTGGCTCTTTGAGCTCACGTTGTCATCTCCGGAGTCACGCGTTCTTGTTCGTGCTGCTAGTTCGTTGTGCCAGCATCTTGTCAGAGTGCTGTGAGCACCTACCCCTGCATCTGTGTTTCTTCTTTGAACCCCCCCCCTAAACTGCATATTACTGTGTCTTTCAGGTCAGAATGAAGGAACAATTTCTGTAGCAGAAGGAGAAATGCTCTATGTAATAGAGGAAGACAAAGGTGATGGGTGGACACGAATCCGGAGGAATGAAGATGAGGAGGGTTATGTCCCTACATCATATGTTGAAGTCTATTTGGACAAAAATGCCAAAGGTGCTATGACTTACATTTAATACTACTATTACTACTTTATTTGCTTTCAGAGATATCCAACCCTGTAACTGCTCTATGTTGCAGATAGAGCCTTTTAAAGGACTACACAATGCCACAAAGTGCATTATTTTGTACATGGACTAATATAACTTGCTGTACTGCAAAACGTGCTTTTTATTGATCAGGCAAGAAAGGCTAGTGTAAAATTAGAGGGGAAAAGCAGCCTTTCCTAGAAAGTGCTTGTTCAGCAGTAACTGCCATTGCACATCCAGCTTAGTGCAGGAAACACAAGGCCGTTTTGAATAGTTACGATCTCTCCTTAGATATCTAGGTGGTATGTTATAGCTACATCTCAGCCGTATTCACAACTGTTTATCCCAAACGGATTCGGTGGAAATTACATATGAAATATTTAGACTGCTGTTCTGTGTCTCAGTGTGGTAGCTTTTTCAGAGCCTAATGTACTCTGTGGGCTTCTTGAATGGAAACCTGGTCACCATTTAGTTTGTTTGACAGGGGAAAAAGATCTTGCCAAAACCTGTCTACGCAGTACCCTGCGATCCTTGATAAATCAGTAAAACAATGACATTAAGGAATATTCCTTATTCTTTCCCTCCTTGACACATTTCAAAAAATGGTCTTGTGGACGTACTTGCCGTTTCAGTTTAAATACAGTTAATTCAGATGAACCACAAGTAATGGTTTCATCTTCTGCTCACATACAATCAGTGGAGACATTCTGAGCTTAGGCTTACATATCTTCTGTTTGTCTTTGCTGCTTTTAACACCTCACAAATAAGGTGCGTTGTGTAAGCAAGTAGTGCATACAAGGGAATCCTCATTAGAATAGATGCTAGCATCATGAGCGCCTGGTAATGTGATACAGTGAGAAATCAAAAGATTTCAGGCTTCTTTCAAATCAGGATGGGTTTGAAGTTCACTGTTAAACAGTGTATGGATTTTTCAGTCATTTAATCCTTCAGGTTACTGTTGTCTTTCATAGATCCTAAAAATTCTTTGTGTGAAACAAGCTGCCTCATCAAATTTAAGGGAAAGCTGAAGCATTCTCATTGAGCCTTATGAACAACAGAAAGAGAGGAGTGAGTAGGCTTTCTCTGTGGACAACACCGAAACTTGATCGGTTTACTGTTTCTGGATTCAGTACTAAGCAGTGCAGTGCCGTGACTGCAGCAGATGAAAGCCTGAGGCCTTGCTTTATTTTGCCATAATCCAGTAGCCTTATTTGTGTTGGCAAAGAGAGGGTCAGCTGGGAGGCAAAAGAGTGCAAAAAGCTCAGTCCCCCTCTGTCTGCTTTTACTAACCTTGGAAAGAGGGACATGGGTTGTACTTTTTACTTCATTCTCAGAACAAGGCAGAAAGCACAGAATGAGAGATCCCGCTAATCATCCCTGTGTTCTGTTGTGGAGGTTACATGCATAGTGTGTGGCAGTAGTTGCAAGCAACGTTATTGTTCTGCTGCAAAACTTGTCAGTCAGCCTTGTGGGCTGCTTGAAACAACTAAGCTAGTGCGCCGTCTAAATCTACCTTAAGTAACAAGTCTGGCTTTCCTGGCCTCAGGTACGCAGCATGGTACGCATCAGTGGAACGTTATCGCAAATCACCTCTTTATGAGCAGAACAGCCCCAACAGCTGGGTGGGAAATGAAGCAAAGCGCATCGCTGGGTGGGGTGAGAAACCCTGACGCAGCGCTGTTAACTGGAACTAGCAAAACTTTGTCTTTAACTCATCCTCCTGGAGAGAATATTGCAGGAGCATCACAACACCAGCCGACAAATCATATTAGTACATTAATGGTGTTACGTAAATTATAGGGTTATGCTAAATGACAGTAAAGAACATGCAGGCTGCGCTGGCAGTGAGTGCTAATACAGTTGCAGCCGTTTCTGTACCAACTCTGGGGGATTTCTTTAGATCCTCAAGTCTTTCTATTAATTTTACTGGACTTTGGCAACAGAACCAAATGTGCATGTGAGTAGCTAATGTAAAGGAGCTATAATATTTAGATCTTTTTTTATTCAAATCTCTTATTAAGAAGAAAAACTAAAAGTGAACTTTCCGTAAGATGTCACAGTAGCAGTGTAAAGACTTGGGGAAAATGCTGCTGCGTTTAGAAGACAAACCTTGTTGCAAGTTGGCACATTTCTCATTTCGTTAATATATCAGTGGAAATGTTTTTATTCAGCCTTGAATGTTTAACATGGAAACAGTGACTTTCTTGAAAATGAAACTAAGTGCTATAGCATTTGCAAACTTTAATAGTTCATTTGATAGTAAATTCATGACTCTCTTAACCAGCAGAATCAATATTGGCTCAGGCCTACTCCTGTGACTAAGTTGTGCCTGTGCCACGAGCCTGAGGTAGCTTTGCCTGAGAAACGCAGCACTTCAGTGCTTTGTGAAAGCCCTCCTTCCCCGGGAACTAGTGTGCTTTTTCAATCAGCTAAGCCCATGTTGTCAGGGGTTTACTGCTGCTGCGCCTGAGATGGATAGCAAAGGTAAGTCGTGTGCTGCGGTCACCCTTCCGATTGTAGTCTGCAGACCTAGCTTGGCTCACGTGAATATTTATTCCCGAGAATATTTTTGTAAGGGCTGTTTGTACAGTGGTACCTCCAGTGAGAGGGTTTTAGCAAACCCTATCGCAAAACCAACGGTAATGCCTATCTTGTTTTGCCTTTTTTTTTTTCCCCAGATATGTACAAATCACTCCAGAAAATCTCTAAGTAGGTTTACATAGGCCTGTTCACCTTTTATTCCACTGCTTTGCTGCTACGATTGTTGTAAGAGACGAATGCACATGTCTTATCTCCATCAATGAAAATACTGGCCCAATTGTATAAGTTTAGTTATAAACAGCATTCTTGTCCTTCCTAATAAAAATGAGAGGCAGCACAGTTCATTCTCTCTGTGATGCATGCAGGCAGCAACCATCAACGCTAGAAACGTATAGACTAAGAACTGGATCTCTTGGATGCAAACTCTCATGTTTTGAGGCTTATGCCAACCTGTAACTGCTAGGGGATGAGGAACAAAGTTTCCGTGTGCACACACTGCTGTAGCTTGTCGCATGGCTTTTCTGCACCACTGCTCCTGCCCCCTTGGGTATCTATCTGGTGCTCATCTAATACTGGAACCAGTTGGACCTTCAGTTTGCTGAGGTCTGATCTATGCTGCGTTGTTGGATAGGGCACCTCATAATCTTCTTGGGAACAAAACTCTTTCACTAAGTGATGTGAAGTAAAGTGTGATACACAAAAGGACTTGCCTAAAATAACTATCTTTGACATTAACTCCCTGTTTCACCCAACAATAATAAAGTGTTCACTTCCACTGGAAGGATTGGCTGTTTGGGTGACAGGGCACAAAGAGAGACTGTTTTCTGAAGTTCTGTTTCCTGAAACAAATGTGGCAGCTGTGGGCTGCTTAGCATTTCGGCTCCTTTGCCGCTGTGAGTCTGTTCCTCTCCACCCTGCGCAATTATATAAATAAATCCTTATAGATACTCTGTGAGTCTCAGTGTTGTGGCTCTGCTGTTTGTTTGCTGTAACCGTTATGCAGAGCCTTGACTTTAATATAAATAAGTTAACCATGCTGATGCACTTTTTATCTAGGATATATCTGATTATTTAATGCTTGCCAAATGATTTAGGAGATAGTAATTATAAACCGGACTGTGGCTTTTTTAAAATCCCTTTTGTTAAATACTTGTCCTTATTTCTCCTAGTTTAAAAAAAAGTTGTATATAACATAACTTAAAAACTAAAATCACTTGAATTTTAATTGTTTTTATTCTTTTTATATATATATA